GATGGTGTAGTGGTTTATGTTAAAAATAATCTTAAGCCATCTATGAAAGAGGTGAAATTAGATCATGCTTCCTGTATACAGATAAATATATTTGACCATACAATTTTATGTATTTATCGTTCTCCGTCGAATCCAAATGCGAAAAAGTTTATTGACTCTATTAGTACTTACTTGGACACAATAAAGTCATGTCGTAACATAATAGTAACGGGTGATATTAATATAAACCTAATTCCTAGGCAAAACGAAGGATCGAATGAAATTAATAATAGGGATAATTATTTGAATATGTTGTCAACTCATGGAATACTACCTGGTCACTCTCTACCGACTAGAGGCGCTAGCTGTTTGGACCATTTTATGTTAAAATTAGAGAAAAGAAAATTTTCTTGTCATATAGCAATTTTAAATACAAGTACTACTGATCATTTGACAATTTTTTTGAAATTAACAAAAATAAAGCAAAAGCAAAATGTATCGAAAACAGTAGAATTTGTAGACTATGAAAGAGCGCTCTCCATATTAATGCAGAAAAATATCTCTACATTATTATTTTGTGACGACCCGAATATAGTTGCCGAAAAACTTATTAAACGCGTATCTGAATCCTTAAAAGAAAGTAAAATTACAAAAAGAAAGCCAAAATCACAACGCACCATTAAGCCTTGGATTACACCCGGTATTTTAAGGTGTATTAGAAATAGAAATAAAATGCAAATGCAACTTCGTTCGGATCCTCACAATGTAATCACAATAATTACCGTTAAAAGATACAGAAATTTCTGTAACAACCTAGTAAAAAAACTTAAAAGAAAATATGAGAGAGAACAATTAAATAAAGCAAATAAGAATTCAAAAATACTTTGGAAAACAATTAAAGAAATAACAAATCTAAAATCTAATAAGACCACAAATTCTGATTTACTAAATATTAAATTAAACCCCTATGATTCAGTTAACTATGTTAACGACTACTTTTCAAATATCGGTAGAAATCTTGCTGAGGATATCCAAAAATATGACACCTCTCCCGAACCTGACAGTCTACTTAAGCATGCATCACATTTATCATCATTTGCCTTATTAGAAACTGATCCACTGGAAATTGAAAATATCCTGACAGATCTCAAGTCAACTAGTGCACCTGGCTGGGATAATATCTCTACTCAGTTTCTCAAGTTTTCTAAATCCCTCGTAGTTCCCGTGATAAGTCATTTGGCTAATCTCTGCTTTCAAAAGGGTATTTTTCCATCTTATCTCAAAAAATCATTAGTGACTCCACTGTACAAGGGTGGAAGAACAGATGATGTCAATAACTACAGGCCCATTTCAGTTTTGCCTGCCGTTTCTAAAATTATAGAAAAGTTAATAAATAAACGACTTATCAACTACCTTGAAAGTTTAATCCTTCTTTCAGATAACCAGTTCAGGTTTAGGCGTGGTAAGTCGACAGAAGATGCAGTTGTAGCGCTAACATCACATATAACTGAACAACTAGATCAAGGCCATAAATGTTTGGCTATATTTTTAGATCTTAAGAAAGCCTTTGACACTGTTTCTTTTTCGATCCTTGTGCGTAAATTGGAGTCAATCGGTATAAGGGGCATCCCGCTCAATTTATTTAAGGACTATCTGAGAGAACGTAAACAACAAGTAAAGATAGGTGACTGTATTAGTGAGGAATCATCGCTTACCTTTGGTGTTCCTCAGGGAAGTGTACTAGGTCCTACATTGTTCCTTATTTATATAAATACATTAACTAACCTAAATTTAGTCGACGGACAAGTATTTTCCTATGCCGATGACACCGCAATGGTTTTTACGGGTAAGAATTGGAACTCGGTTTTTAGAAATGCTGAATCTGGCCTAATAAAAGTTTGAAAATGGCTGCTGAGTAACCTTCTTTCCTTAAATATTACAAAAACTAAGTACGTATGCTTTACAATTAATAATAGAACGCAACCAAACAATAACAATAGTTTAAAGATACATTATTGTGGCATTTCTAATAGTTCTAACTGTAAGTGTACAGTTATCGATAAGGTTGCATCTATAAAGTATTTGGGGGTTGTTCTGGATCAACACTTGAACTGGCACGCTCAAGTTGAATATACGAGTAATAGGATACGGAAATTAATTTGGATATTTAGGAAACTAAGACATGTCACCTCTAAACAACTACTAAACCAAATATATACTGCATTGGCACAGCCCATAATAGGGTATTGTGTATCAGTTTGGGGAGGAGCAGGTAAAACAAAATTATTAGAAATCGAAAGGAGTCAACGTTGTCTCCTGAAAGTTATGTATTTCAAAGCATTTAGTTTTCCTACTGAAGAACTTTACAAGTTGAGTGAGCTTCTTTCAATAAGACAGATATATATCCTATCAACAGTCTTACGAATACACAAATATTTGCCTTTTAACACCGATACAATGATGAGAAGAAGAAAAGATAGGGTAGCAGTAACTAGATACGTAAAAACCAAATTCGCTCAACGTCAGTTCTTATCACAATCTGCTCATCTCTACAATAGACTGAACAAAGATTTAGATATATATCAGTTGAACACATACAAATGTAAACACATTGTTACAAAATATTTACATACTAAAACATACAACGACACAGAATGTTTATTGCAATATACTAATTAATTTTTTTTTTCTTATGTTTGATATGTTGAAACCGGTATGGGTGAACGAGAACTGTGATATTTTATAAAAACCTACACATTCATACTCTCACAACACACACGCACACACACACACACACACACACACACACACACACACACACACAGACACACACACACACACACACACACACACACACGCACACATGCACGCAGGCTCGCACACATGATTTTGTTAAATTTCAGAATTAATCCATTTCAGGTAATATGTAAATTTTATTAAAAATTGATTATTGTTTTACCTCATATTTCACTCTAAACTGATGTTAATATTAATTATTTTTATAAGTATTTTGCCAAATTGTCTTCACAAGCACAATTAAGTATAATATGTAGTATAGTAAGGAAGAGCGGGGTCACCTGGCACAAGTAATTATTATTACTTAATAGGTTGATCCCAACCTCTGTTTACAATTATAAACCACTGTGTTGTGAAATAAAGATATTTTTGATTTTTGATTTAAAGAATTATTAAGGTACCCTATTTATAAAGATTGTTTAAAACAAATAGTTATTAGTTTGTGATAAACATTTGATGTGGTATGATAGTAACCACAGTCTAATATCAGTAATTTAATCATTTTGGGAAAATAAATTGTAAATGTTCGCTTTGCATACGACTATGTATTTGAAAAATGCTTTAAAATATTACTAGTAAATATAATCCATATATATTTCAAACCTCCATGACAATAAAATATGGCAACGATTCAGTTAAAAACGTACTTAACTTATTCTAAATTATTGCTACGCTCTTTTGCTTACGCATATTAAAAGTAAGAGATGGAAGTAATTTTAAAGCCGTTGATTCAGTGAAACTTAATTTCTTGAACAATTTTTGTTGTCACTTCGGAATATGTCCTTTAAAAACACAATGAAATTCACTGTGTGAACTAATTTGACAGCATTAAAATTCTTGCTATTTCTTTCTTGTTTTCCCAAGTAGTAAAAGATAACGATGGATTAAAATAAGCTTAGTGTGTTTTTGACAGAATCGACACCATTATCTGATACTAATTATATAGTTCATATAGTTCACAAGTGTGGTACAAGATTATTGTTGGTCACACCGAAGAAGGAAAAGAAAGAGATAGATCCGCTTCATAAACTTTATATTTTACAGACTACAATGATACTTACGCATGTATATTCTATGTATATGAATCCGTCTCATTAAGCCTTCCTTTAAAATTTTTTTTAAGTTGATGTTTAGGTATGACCACGATTTTACAAGGTATCTCCCTTCCTATTCCAGTTATTATAATAATAAACAACAAACTAGTAAGAAGTGCTAGCGCAATCCCAACAATGTACTCTGTGCATTTTCCTCACATAGTACATTGTAGGGGAGTTTTGGCGGGAAATTGACCGGCGGCGGTTTGCTGCTCCTGTATTATTGTTTAAATAATGGTTTGAAGTGGACTTTGATATGTAAAAGTGTTGCGATTTTGCGTATTAAGTGTCTACGCATGTGAACTATTAGTGGAAACAGTGAAACAAGTGCTCTGATGGTGACGGATTCTCAAGATAAGCTGTTTGTTTGCATAGGCACCTTTAGATACCATCGCCAACTATCAGCTGTCTGCTGGATCAAGTTGCCGCCAAAATCTCCCAAGAACTGCACAATGTGACGCATCAACATATTGTGAAGCAGTATACTATGAAGGAGTGGGGAAATTACAATAAACCGAATAAAAATACCAGGCCATAAACTCCAAAAAAAAATAAAAAAAAATAGTACATTGTAGGAGTTTTGGCGGGAACTTGACCGGTGGTGGATTATTGCTCCTATATTAATGTTTAAATCATGATTTGAAGTGGATTTTTATATGTAAAAGTGGTGTGATTTTGAGCATTAAAGTCTGCGCATGTGAACTATTAGTGGAAACGGTGAAACAAGTGCTCCGATGGTGATGTGAATATCAAGATATGGTGCCTATCTGCTAAGGCGCCTTGGGATACCATCGCCACTGTTTCTGGCTCAAGTTGCCGTTAAAATCTCCCGAAAGCTGTGCATTGTGATGCTTTAACATATTGTAAAGCAGACTACTATAAAGGATTATTATAACTTGATAGTAAGATAAATGAAAACATGGCTTAAAGGATAAGTAACCAAGCCAAAAATATTAATATGAAAACATTCTGACGTGTATGTGTCAATGTCAAAATCAGCAAAGGCTAAGTCTACGTCAGTAAATAAAATGATAGCGAGCGAGTACGGGAGTACCTAGTTTCTGATAAACATTTAACAAGAATTTACACAAAAATGGTGCCTTTATAAAGCAATGCCGTTAGCCCGTCAAAATGGATCAGACTAATATAGATTTTACTTTGCCTCCGGCTCCTCGTGGTCTTTGTTTTGACCGTAATGATTTTGTCAAGGTATTATTGCTTGTTATCACTAGTTTTTATAAAAACAATATTAGAAATTTATTTATGTGTGTTGTTTGAGTTTATATTTTTTATTTTTACAGACGAACTTTTCAGTGGATAATTTTCTAATTGACCATCAAAATGTTGCCTCCTTGGAGACAATGCGTGATGACCTAGGAGTGTATCTAAAAGTTCTAAGGCTGGCTATGATCGAGTTAATTAACAAAGATTACGCGAATTTTGTTAATCTATGTGCAACATTAATTGGCTTTGATAAGACTATTGTAAAAATTCAAGTGCCATTAGAACAACTAAATGAAGAAGTTCTTGTGAGTTAATGCAATGACATTCCGTTATTTAATTTGTAAAAAGTTATTTCGGAATAGGTCTTTTGTTATTATTTTTTATGGGAATAGCTGTCCACATCTTATTTTCTTCAATAGATTTTAATTCCTCTTCTTTCTTTACTTCTTCCCAGTTACTTTTATCAGGGCCATTTATTGCCTTGTCTAACTTTAAATTTTCTTCCATAGTTATAAAACTGTATTCATTGTTTTCATAATCATTCCACCATATTGGTCTTCTTCTTTCTCTCCTTTGATCATTTTCTTCAATGTTAACAAATTTACTATTATTACTATTTTTACATTAAAAATATTTTTATTGAAGTAAAAATATATTCTGAATCTTATGCTGTGCTTAATTTAAGCTTATGTTGTGTGATTAATTAAAATTATGTTTTTTTTTAGAGTGTAAAACAATGTTTGGAGGATGCAATGAAAGAATTATCTATTTGGCTTAATCAAAGACATGGTCTACTCAAAAAGAAGCAACTCTTAAAATACTACAGCCAAACAATAAATGGCTTGAATACATTGGAAAATATCTTAAAAGACATCTCAGATAAGAAGAAACATGAGCAAATAATTTTAGCTGAACGTACAGCTGTGCAATATAACCAATTAAAATTCACATTTTCTAAATGTGAAAATTTATTAAGTTCTGAGAACAAGGTGTTGTTTAATAGTATTAGTGAAAAGTTAGTACAGATATTAAATGACTTGGTTTTTTATTTTTGGAATGAAAATAATGAAAATAATCTCCTCAAAACTCTCATTATTTTAACAACATTAAGCCGTATTGAAGAAACTGAAATATTAATAAGAAAGCAAGCTATAGCTCCCTTACTGCAAGACATTATAAATGAGCCTGCATTACAAAGAAGCAAGGAAGGATTATATGGTATTTATGTAAAAATTTTAGCATTGTTGGATACGAAATTGAAATTGCTCTTTGAAGTGATGCAACATTCCAAGTTTTCATTTCTTGAGAAAAAATATAGATTTCTAGTAAATTGTTTCTGGTGTGAAGTAGAAAGTCGATTAGAAGTAAATCTGGCATCTATTTTTGCTCCTGGCAACCCACAATTGTTTTATAGAAGATATAGTGAAAGTATGCAGTTTATTAAAAAATTAGAAGAATATTGCATAGTTGAAGGATCTGTTAAAATGTTACATGAAACTGCAGAATACAAGAGTTTTCAAAGGAGGTGGAATTTGCCTGTTTATTTTCAGATACGGTTTCAGGAAATTGCAGGTAATATATATTTTTAGAATATATTTTAATAGTTGTGTAGTGGAAGCATAAGAGAAAAAAGTGGTGGTCAACATACTGCCAAGCTTTTTAACTTTGGTAAATACATTAGGGTAAATCTATGAGGTGGCCTATGTTTAGCAGTGAACTGATAGAATATATTGATTGATGAAAACACAACACTTTTCATATGTTACATATTTATAGTCTTAGCAGAACTTAATTGAATCTTCTAATAATTAATCATTTTTAATTACTAGCTATTTGCTTATAGGAAGCTTTGAAACATCGTTGAAAAAAAGTCCAACCATCGAAAACAAAGAAGGATTTATTTTGAATGAGACATTAAAGTGTTGGGCTTGTCTACATGAGTGCTGGTCAGATGGTATCTACATAGAAGCATTAGCCCATAAGTTTTGGAAGCTCTCATTACAATTGTTATCTAGATATGCAACATGGACAACCAATTTTTGTACAGAGGTTGGTTTTATTTGTAAGAAATTTAAATGTATTTTTTTTTTGTATTATATGTAACCTTTGGTTTACATAATTTTTGACTATTAATAGACTTTGTCAATAGTTAGTATGTCATATTTGTCACAAAAGATTGCATTTTCAGAATGATTTGTTTATAAAGGATTTATGTCCCATATTGTTACAGAGAAACTCCTTATCTGAATCAATAAGCATAAATAAGAGCCTAATTGAAAACAGTATTAATATTTATATAGACACTGAAACATTATTGCACAGGTTACCAGAATTTTTAGCACTCGTTGAAAGCAAAATACCAATTGTGGAGAGCAAGTCTTTGCTTAGGCAAAGCTTAAATTCTTCAATTGAGGGCTTACACAAGACTGAAATGAAAATCAAGGAATGCATTGTAAATGAACTGTTTGACTTCTGTAACATGCAATTAAAGCAAGTTAGTGACATACCAAGGTTGTATAGAAAAACTAACCGCAGTATACCAACTAAACCCTGCACATATATAGAAGTTGTTACAAGTGCTATTAAAGATTTTAATGATGGTGCAGCAAACAGACTAAATAATGACTTTTTAATAGGACTTTATGAATCATTATTCAATGTTATGACTGCTTCGTAAGTATTTAGCTAATCACTATACATTTTGTGCCCTATCTTTTCAGCTTATTTTTGCACTTATACTTAATTTGTAATAAATATTTTAGATACTACAAATATGTAGAAGATGTATTGACCTCTGTACAGAAAACTGAAGAGTCTCTTAGAAGATTAAAGCAAATACGTGAAAATGCATCACAACAAAGCAATGACAGTGGTGGTATTAGTGATGGTGATAAGATCAGGCTCCAACTCAATGTTGACGTAATGTCATACACCAATTTGGCAGACTCTCTTCATGTCAATATTCAAAGAGTGCACAAATATAATGAACTGTTGTCCATGGTAACAGAAGCTATAAAAAATATAGAAATTAAATGATATGCCCAGTTATATTTAAATGATGTTTTGTTATTTACCTTAAAAAGGATATAAATAAAATCAAGAACATTTATAACATAAACATGTATTTGATCAGCTGAATAAAAAATGTATGATTTGAAAAAATAGAAACCATTCACTTATCACTTATAATAATTAACAAGACATATAACTAATACTATTTGTGTGGAACAAAATATTTCAAGATAGTGTTTGATTTAGCTTTATTCATTATTCTTGGACTACTTCTAGGCAACTCTGAATTAGATGGATTTTTCCACATAGCCTTCAGTTCTTGCTGCATTTCATCAGGCAGGGCATTAAATACTTCTTTATCAACATAACTTGGACATTCATCACAATTTCCACCTTCAGAACCATCTTTCATTGTGTCTGTATCAGAAAGATTATCCTTGGCTGGGCTAGCTCTTGGTGTTAGTGACCTGTCTCTGGAGTTAAGCCTTAGCTCTGAAACTTTCTCTAGCTCTCTTGAATTTAGCCTGAGCTCACCTACCTTCAATTTACTAGGAGATGCTACTTCCTCTTTAGATAAACATCTTCTTTTAGCTATCCAATTAACTTTTTTAGGCTTTTTCGGAGATGGCTCCACTTCACCATCAGAGAGGTCAGTTGTGGTACTACTACTGGGTGAAGCTGCCGAGTAGTCCATTGAAGATGCAGATGTGTCACAGTCATTTGTAATATTAAGCACAGACTGTACTGAGATATCGTTCATTAGGTAATTCACAATTGAACCTCTGCCAGTCATGCGTTCTTGAAACTTTGTAAAAGCCAGTCCTACTAATGTTAAATGGAATGGTTTACTTAAATCTATGAGTTTGTTGAATAATCTCATAATTAAAGTCATTAGCTTTTGCTGGCCAGCCTCAGTGACAGTTGGAGCACCATGGTTTATTGTAAAAATGGAAGGAGATACTTGACACTGCCTGGACTCTCTATGGCTGCTAAGCCTCTTGACATCTTTTTTTCGTAATGTCACTCTCAGTGAAACTGGAATGCGTCCATCTTCTCTAACTAATACCAATAACCTTTGTAATAATGCTGAAAATCTTTCTTCCACTTCACTCTTTACACTGACAGTCTTGAAACTATCCTCTAGCCCTATGCTCTGAGGTTTACCTGTTTGCTTCACTGGAGTATTATCTTCTCCTATACTAAGGTTCTTAAGTCGAACTGCCATATCACTACTAAAATGTTTCTTTAATAAATCAACAGATACTTTCTGTAAGTCACTCACTGTTATAATATTTTGAGAAATGAGTGCTTCAGTAGTCTTTGAACCAATACTTGGAATGGACCGCACACTTTGCAATGTGGACATAAAACTGGCACCATGCTCGGGAAATATTGTTGTTTGATCATTTGGTTTATGAAGTGGACAGATTAATTTAGCTAACAGCTTATTATGTGCAATGCCTGCAGATGTTGTAAAACCTAATTCATCAAACAATTTCTTTCTCATCTCCTTTGCCATTTGTGAAGCTATTTTAAGACGTAAATGGCAGCCACACAGGCATTCTGTAATGGATTCTTCATATATATGACCTACAAATGTGATTTTATCATCTTTAACACTTTTTATTCTTTCTTCTACTAAATTTGTGACATCTATAAAATTTTCATCCATACCCAACTTTTCAACTGGGCACTTCCAATGTTGAAGCGCAGCAAATATATTATTAGAGGCTGCTCTATAATTATGCAGGTCTTCACCATTAACCAACTTTAAGTTTGGACATATTTTAATAGCATCTGTAACGGCCATGCACTTTTTTATACCGTATTTTCTAGCTTCATAGTTACTAGTTACGACGATATTTTTTTGTTGGATGCCGACAGGTTGAGATCGTAGTTCTGGGTTTCGAAGCATTTCCACTTGAGCGTAAAAACAGTCTATATCGATGTGTATGATAGCCTTGGGATGTTCAACACTGGTTGAAGAATGCTTGTGACAACTAGAGCTGCTCGATTCCATAATTCTGCAAATAATTTAGAAGTTATTCACTTTGTTCTGTTACGTTTACCTGTTGCGATGTAACTACAAATTACTTAGTAAACGCTCACCTATCGTCCATGGAAACTTCATTTAAAGACGGAATGTTTATTATCGTATATAAATATGAAAAATTGTTTGAAAACTGCTGTTTTTCTTTCATCAAATACAAAATATTGGTAATTTTTATTGGACAATCACGACACATCAACACAGACAATGTTACCAATAAAAAAATGAAAATAGCGGCCACAGATAACTGCGTAAGTCTATGACTGCGGCTCATTTCATAAAGGGTAAAGTTTTTTAATACGATTTTTTGGTTTGGATCCTTGTCTTTTAAGCCATGTCTTCATTTCATGCGGGAACTTCGATTTTATAGAATTTCAGTATCAAGTGATAATAATCCTTTAGAGTACACTGCTTCACACGTGTTGATGCGTGACATTGCATAGTTTTTGGGAGATTTTGACGGCAACTTAAGCCAGCAGACCAATGGCGATAGTATCTCAAGGTGTACCTTATCTTGAGATTTAAATCACCATCGGAGCACTTGTTTCTTCGTTTCCACCAATTTTTCACATGCGCAGACCGCAGACATTGAATACACAAAATCGCGCCACTTTTACAGACCAGAATCCACTTTAAAACTAATACAGGAGCAGCAATTCCGCCGCTGGTCAAGCTCCCGCCAAAACTCTAAGCTCTTAAAGTTTTCTATAGTTATTAAAATATTTCTCTAAACATTTTCCGATAAAGCGATTTTAAGCGGTTCTATTCTACACCAGATTCCATATAAATCATCGAATTCAGTAACACGTAACATGTAGTTATATTATGATGGTCTGATTGATGATTTTATATCCCGCTGAATCCGGGAAGTGTAGGTTAATGCTGAATGAGCTGAGCTAAGTATTGAGAGTTGCATAAAGAAAAGAGGTATTTAATATTAAAAATTAAGTTAAAAATAAAAATCTGTTAGTATAGATTTATTCTTGACGAACATTTATTACTTTTAATTTTAACTCTTTTAGCGTTCTGTCAACCAATATTGGCCGATAGGCATGTGTTACAACTGCGTCATTCACTAAACAAAATTTGGCCGATTGCCTAGTGTTTACAACTTGGTATTAAATTAAACACCTTTGACCGCGTGGATCACGTCATCTTGCTTCGTAAGTTAAAAATACTTGGAATACATGGGACCTTCTGAGATGGATTGATTCTTACCCAAGAAATCGCTCTCAGGCAGTAGTTGTAGGAGGACACAAATCAAACTTTATAAAAATCACATCTGGCGTACCACAAGGGTCTCACTTAGGGCCCCTCCTATATAACGCATATCTATATGATATATATACATGCTTTAAACATTCCTCGTTCATGCTGTATGCAGATGATAAAAAATATTTTTTAAAATAAAAAATTTAGAGGATTGTTACAAGCTTCAAGAAGATTTGAAGAGGTTGGACTATTACTACATAAATAATTGTATCTCTGTTAATGTCAAAAAATGTCAAACTTGCAAATTCAAACGCAAAAGTAAACCAGTAGAATATACTTACAGATTGAATGGAACAACAATTCAAAAAGTACAGGTAGTCCGAGACCTTGGCATTTTATTAGATTCCAAGCTTACATTTAGTAATCATATTGATTATATCACAAATAAAGCATACAGAAACTTAGAATTCGTAATACGTACATGTCAACCCTTCTCAAACTTACCTTGTATTAAATTATTATACTATGCCTATGTTCGCGGTATCTTAGAATATGGTAGCAACATATGGTGTCCACAATATCATACATATATTAACAAAATAGAAGTATTACAAAATAAATTTTTAAAGTTCATGGACTACAAAATTAAAGAACGACATCAGGCATACAAAGAAAGATGTGTATATCATAAATTCCTCTCATTAGAAGATAGAAGAAAAATGCTTGATCAAATGACACTGTATGACCTAATTCACGGCCGACTTGATAATTCATATTTACTGGGACTTATTAACTTCTCAACGCCCATATATCGAACAAGACATACCAAATTGTTCTCCAACTGTCACTTTCATACAAAATATAGCAAAAACTCACCAATAAATCGGATGTGTTGTACTTAAAACCAATTTTTTGCAAACATTGATATTTTTACGAAAATGAGAGAAACCTTTAAAACTGACACACACACACACACACACACACACCGATAAGCGTCGCTCTTTCTTTTTAATTATGTACAGATAACATAGGAAAACCTGTAATAAGGCTTATGTTAAGCTAATTCAATCGGATGTAATCTTTTTTTTAAAGCTGTTGGTTTTCTAAATAAATAAAAAAATTACGGTTTTTACTTTGAACAGCATAGATTAAAGACAAGGTCGATTTTTTTTATAACTGGCTTAACTGCTCTGGGTTCGAGCCTTTCTCAGCCTGAAGTTACAATGTATAATTATCCTTCATAGTACACTGTTCACAATATGTTGATGCGTCACATTGTGCAGCCCTTGGGAGATTTTACAGCAACTTGAGCCAGCAAACAGCTGAAAGTTGACGATGGTTTCTCAGGGCGCCTAAGCAAAAAGACACCTTATCTTGAGAATCATATCATCGTCAGAGTTCTTGTTTCACCGTTTCCACTAATAGTTCACTTGCGCAGACACTTAATACACAAAATCGCACCACTTTTACATATCAAGATACACTTCAAACCATTATTTAAACAATAATACAGGAGCAGCAAACCCCCGCCGGCACAACGGTGACACTCTGTACGTGAGAGTTGAAGTGCCGATGACATTAGGCCGGCGTGTGTAACGCAAGGGTTGATACCGAACCGAAATCGAATATTATAGTCTTGTGCCAAAGAAGATACATAATAGGTATATGTTATATAATGTAAACTTATGTATTTTTAGCCCCTGAAATACAGGTATAATATCCTAGTTTAGGGGCTGTTGACCATTGTAAACATTTGCGCATGTAATATGTTTATCAATAAAGATTATTATTATTATTATTTTTTGATAGTGAAAGATACGATCAATTTTAAATCAACTTTTATTAAACGTCTTTACAGATGGTGAAAATAAAAATTTCCGAAAACACAAAATATGTACGACAGTTAGGTAATCATAAATAATAATTAACGAACACTTAGTATTTCAGTACGCAATAATCAGTATTACCTACTACTCTTTAAAAATTACTTAGTCTTATATATTTTTGGCTTTTTCGATGACTTTTATAATTTTTATTATTATTTTTAACAATTGAAAAAATTCGTAGCCGTATGTATAATTTTTTTAGAAAATCTATAGGGAGGCATAGATAGATAGATAGATAACACTTAATTGTACGCCAAACATAACATAAATATTAATAAAAACTTAGAAAAATAAATATGGTACAATGAGTGGTCTTATCGCTAAGAGCGATCTCTTCCAGACAACCTATGGATGGACAGGATTACAAGAAAACAATAAAAACGTGTGTGATTTGGCGACAAAAATAATATTATTTTTATTAAAGCCATAAAATAGAAATACAGAACGGTATATAAGTACATAGATAAGATAAATACATACATACATATATATATATATATATGTATATATATATATATATATATATATATATTGTAATTTTTATTATACAACTATATTCAAACCTTAACACCATCCACTACTACCTGGAAATGGCGAAACCCGCCTTGCTCTTTCTAACCGAGAGACAGGTGTCTCGGTTAGAAAGGTTTCGATGGATTTAATGTTCTTTTTTTTTTGGAGATTTGATCTAATTTGTGGCACTTATTCAATTTCTGCGAATTACCTCAAAATATTAGACAAGTTGATGATACCACTTTTGTAGATGTATTGGATATTCTTCGCGTTGGAGAATTGACAATGCAGCATTAGTCCGTAATAGACAGCCGAAGAGTACCATTCACAGGAGCATTCGGTGACTACAACTAATTTTGTGGGAAATTATAACTCCACCATAACCGAAGACCTAGAAAAACGCACTAATTTAAAATTAATGCCGTAGATATCTCACTGGTACGGAAAATATACGGTCGAACTCAAAAAAAAAAAATTTCAGTCGCTCCCAATAAAACAGGGGGTATACCAAACATGATAAAACTTGGCATTAGCTGACGAGCAATGTTAAGGCGCAATATAGAATGGCCTGCTTTACGCAGAGACCAGCCGGAAGTGGGAGAACTGCCTCAAGCTGTACTTCTTAAGTTTGATGACTAATATCAGACAACCACTGGAGTATAATTTATTTAATGAAAATTAAGGATTACAGCAGTTCACGATTGAGAAAGATATTTTTTTTACAAAAATATAAATTTAATTGAAAAAAACCTACTCCTTATTTGAAGTCTAATAAAAATATTTCAGACTTAAGTTGTATGGGCCTACAACTTTTTGCCTGTAAGCAAATATTATGTAAAAAAATGGACGTCATGTGTCTGTCAATGTCAACTATCTGTCCTAATGACAAATGACAATTTCAAGAAAGTGGGTGTCTGGTACAGTATACGTAGTATCCACTAAGTAGTCTGTGGGTACAGTACTCAGTCGAACAAATAAACAATATTCTTTCTTCCAAGCAACTGTTATGATCTCCTGAGAGCTTATCATGGAGGGTTTGCCTTCAGGAGATATACAAGCAAAATATCAAAAGTTAGCGGCGGAATATTCAAAGGTATTCATTCTACTATTGTTTTAACATGAAGCGGCTGTCTGCACCCAGTAATTGTATAAATTTATTGTTTCCGTTTACAGTTGAGAGTGCACGTAAAGGTATTGAAGAAAGGTGTTTTAGATGAGCAGGCCAAGTCTAATGAATTGCGAGAAGTATTAAAAGCGAAAGAGAAAGTTATAAGGCAAGGCGAATTGGAAATAGATTCATTAACTTTCAGAAATCAGCAGTTGACGCGGCGCGTGTCCGTCCTTCAGGATGAACTCGATGCTTTACAGGTCAGTTAGTTTAGAACAAAAAAGTTGAATCCCATATTTAATATTACATCTATAAATCTAATTCATTTGGTAACTAATTCTCTTAAGTAATTTTATAATTGGATTATTTAAAAAATACTAAAAGACTTATTATTATCGGATCTGGTTGAAATATATGTGGTTAACTGTGTATATAATACAATTAGTAAATGAAAAACATTACAGATCTGTTAAATTAGTCATAAGATGTTATTTATTTATTTAATATTCTTACACGTTCCCTATAAAGAGGATATTAAGGGGAAATTGAATGCCTGTAATTAGGATTAGCAATGCTAGTTGTCCAAAGATCATACAGATATAAGGAATGGAAAGAAGTGTGAATAACAAATATTTATTCTGATAATCTATATAATATTTATATCAATAAAATTGAAGTGTCTGTCTGTAGTATTGAAATAACTGCCTTATTAAGCTTAGAAGGTTATCTGCATGCCGTTAATGTGAATAATCATTCTTAAACATTTTCTCTCTGACTGTCTGGGCTAATCTCAAAATGAACTGATTGAAAAAAACTTATCAAACAAAGATCAATGTCAGTGACCTAGGATATAATTTATTCTTGAATAATTTTTTCAAAAACTTGGATATCATCATTTTATGAAAGAACAAAAAAATGAATATAAGAAATGGTCTTGGATTAACTTAAATCTTAACAACATCACATTAATAGATTCTACCCAGGCGAAGCCAATTTTTTATGTCCCAACAAGAAAATGTGATTGGAAGATTTTAAATTCCAAAAGTGGGAGTAAGAGCATTGTGTGTTATATAAGTGCAAGGCTTGTTGTCCCCTAAGGGACACTCCAGTTGCAACCTAAGCTATTTTTGCTGATATGACATAATATTGTGTTAGTTTTAGAAAACTTAACATTATTTAAAGAGAAATTTTATAAATTATATAAATACACCCCTCCCTATCTAAAGAAGTTTAATTTTGTGAGGTTCCTGGGGAACCTCTATGCTCTTCTAGAAAATTCATTTTATTGTCCAGTCTATTAAGCTCTGAAATGCCCTACTTTTGCATATATGTGAAGCACAATCTATTGTAATCTTTAAGAGACTACTTAAAGAGCATTACCTGTCTCAATTGTTTGGTCACCATTAGGATAAATTATGTGATTATGTATTTATTGTATTTATCAGCTTGAAAGAAGATGTAGTGACAAAACTTGAGAAAGGTATGCTGAGATGGTTTGGCCATGTCGAGAGAATGAATGAAGAACGATTGACGAAAAAAGTGTATAAGGCGAGTGTGAATGAAAGTGTTGGAAGGGGTAGACCTAGGCGGACATTTCTAGACCAAATCAGGGACGTCTTGAAAAAAGGCCAGGTCAAGAGTACCCTAAACCGTAGAGCATGTATGAAGGGAATAATGAAAGTGGACGAAGCAAAACAATTATGTAAAGATCGTAGCAAGTGGAAAGAACTGGTCTCTGCCTATCCCTACGGGAAAGAGGCGTGATTATATGTATGTATGTATTATTGTTTGAGGAATTTTGTAATTTATTTATGTATTCTTGGGTAGATATGTAAGTTTGTTTATATATTCATATATATGTATATATTATATGCTTTACTTTATCTTTGATTATGATATTAGTAATTTATATTATTTCATATATTAGTTATTTATATGTAATTTTATTGCATTTATTGTCTATATATTGCATGTATTGATATTATATTTTGTATATTTTATATTGTACCTCCTACCTAGTATTCATTGTTTTATTCCTTTACACCTTTGGCTGCCTGGAAGAGATCACTATGTAGCGATAAGGCCACTAAATTGTACATATAATCTGCCTTTTGTTATGTCATTTGTATATTTGTTTGTGGTGTACAATAAAGTATATTCATTCATTTATACATCAATTAAAATATATTTCTCATCTATAATTTTTATTGGTCAAATAAAACTAATTTATTTCTTCAATTGGTGGATGAAGGGATACTTCTATGTATATTCTAAAAATAAAATTTACTTAGAACTTATCTTCTGGCCATGGAACCTTTTCTGCTTTCTATTTGAGTTTATAATAAATCAGTAAAGATGAGTTGAGATTACACATTGATATTTCCAAACATGTTTAATATTAATGTTTTCAAAACAATTTCAAAATAATGTCTAGTATGGTGACTTGTCACAAGCCGCTTTTGCAAGATTCTAACTTAAACTTACCAAAGCTTATTTCAGTTATTTTATTTAATCAAAGGTTACAACTTAAAATTTATTCTTTCTTTTTTTAACCTTTGAAGCGTCTGTCTGTAATATTGAAATAATTGGCACCTATTAAGCTGCTATTAAGACGTAAATTAATAACTATTTTTAATATTTTTGCCTGTCTGTCTGTCTGGGCTAATCTTTGGAATGGCTCAACCAATTTTTATGAAACTTCATGAAAATATAGAGAGTAATGCCAGGAGTGATCTAAGATATTTTATCTGTAAAACAAACAAGATTTTAATGTAAAATCAAAAACCTGATAAATCATGCTTTTGATGATTATCTCATAAACTATAAGAGATATAAAAAAATGTTTTGAACAAAACCTTTTTTGGATTGCAATTTCATAAAATAAGATACAACACTTTTTTTTCTCTTAAAGATTAGATAAAGATTTTAGAACAAAACTGAGTGTTAACGGATGATAAGAAAGATATATAATAAAATCACCTTTTTTGGTTAAATGAATACATTTTAAATTTTAATTATTTTCCCATATTCCTTGTAATTTTCAAGATAATAGCAAAATACTGAGTTTAAACTCAGTTTTTCATAATTAGTCCTCCTGGACTAATTATGAAATACAGTGCATTCAATTTACTTGTTTATGCATCATTTTCAACAGGCACATAACAAGGTATTACTTATTTTCCGATTTTTATGATTCTTTAACCATATCAACCCATGTGTCGGTTTTTACTCTATTCAATACAATTATTTGGTACTACAAGATAAGCTGTTATTTATTTCATCCAATATTAAATTGTTTTTCAGACAAAGCTAACTAAAAAATCGAAAAGCAAAAGTGATGACAAACAATCAGCCAGTAATGCAACAGCCCACCTTGATTCTGGACTATTGCAGGAGGAATTGCAGAAGAAAATAATTGAAAATGCTCAATATGCATCACAGGTACCTACCTAAATATTAATAATTTATATTCATTATAAGTTATAGACAGGAGTAACAAATATTTTCTTTGCTAACTACAAGCCAAAGCATAAGGCAAACAGAAACATAATTATTAGGTAACTTGTAAAACAAACCTTATTTAATAATATTCTAAACCCCTATTCATTTTCATAACCAGATCCATTTATTGCTTTTTTTAATTTACTTGTTTTATTATCATCATAGTATGATGACAAGTACGTTCATACCATATTTTGTAGCGTTTGCAAATGTCAACAAATTCAATTACATTCACAGGTGTAACATATAATTTATGTTTGTTTGAAACAAAGATTGAAAAGATAAATTGATACAGAGATAATGAACTCTTTTTTTTGTTCTATAAACATTGTTAAATAGGAGGAGGCTTGTATTGTAGTCTTACAACTTTTTAGGATTTCACTGTCAAAAAAAGAACCATTGAAACAGAAACTTTTTTATTCAATATAGATTATAAATAATACTTATTGAAAGCCACTCTTTTGTATAATTACCACTGGTTCGAAAAAAAAAACCTCTGTCCTGGGAAGAACCAGCAAGAAACTTTTTTTTTTAAATAACAGCTTACAATCATTTATGTTACACAAATTAACAACACAACAAAATAAAAATAGCTTGGTAGCGATCACCTCATACCCAGGTGTTATTATCATCTATAAATTCTTTAATATTATAATAACCGTTTTTATACAAACTTAGATTAATAAAGTGTTTGAACTTTGAGCAGGTCAAATTTTGTATATTTTCTGGAATTTTGTTGTAAAAGCGTATACATCGCCCCAAGAATGAATTACTGACTCGATGGAGTCGAGTAACTGGTACTACTAGCTTGTGTCTGTTCCTAGTATTTACAGAATGAATATCACTTATTTTTGTAAAACTACTTTTGTTTTTGTGTACATACATTACATTTTCATAAATGTATTGAGAGGCCAAAGTTAATATATTAATTTCCTTAAATTTTTGTCACAGCGACTCTTTAGGCTTTAAATCATAAATTGCTCTTATTGCCCTCATTATAATATATTTATGTGTGCCTTACTTAACACGAGCATTATAACTCCCTGAGTTTTTGGACTAAATTATATTAAACATTATCAAAATTGTGTAATATACTTTTAAATTATCTTTTTAATTTAGTTCCAATATAAATTGTTCTTTTCTTGCATCTTAGGACTATTGACAACATTTGAGTATTTTGTTTCTGTAGTAGGTATTAAACTAATAATGGAGTACAGTTTGAAGCTTTTACTATGTTTTATTCAATCATAAGCCACATCTTGCCAATTTGTTTGCATATTATAAAAAAGAAATATTAATTATAATTATATAATAATTTCACCATCACACATCGCGACAAAACTCGCTATACAATCCATACCATCTGGATGATTGGCAGTCCACCATTGGGCGATTTAGAACTTTTCTTCCTTGAACAACTTCATTGTGGAATCGATTACCACCAGCAATTTTTCCGGGCCGATACCACTTAGGGACCTTCAACAAAAGAGCGTATTCCTTTTTAAAAGGCCGGCATCGTATTTGCAATTCCCCTGGTGTTTTAGTTGTTCATGGGTGGCAGTAGTCACTTACCATCAGGTGAGCCGCATACAGGTTTGCCTTCACTCTTATAAAAAAAAAGAAGAGACACCTTTCAGCCAACGTGAGAAAGAGATGCAAATAAAAATAATAATAAAATCCTCGTATAGTGATTCATGTATCCATACATTAGTCAATTAAGATTGCCCATGCACTTAAAGGCTAACCAAGGTATTTATTCAGCTTTCAGACAAAACCTTCGAAGTTGCCCAACTTCGAGCCTCCTTAGAAGATTACCAGAGGCACATAAATGAATGTGAGAGTAGATACAAATGTGAGATAGCAAAATTGAAAAATAAAAATCAAGAGTTACAGTTCACATTGGAAGAGTTTCAGAAGGACAGAGTTGGTAGCACTTCAAATAGAGGATTAGCTGCAACAAGTAGTCAAGCTGCAAGTTGTAATGGCGACTTTCTATCAGAGGCTGGCAGCCTGGTAATCTGAATGTTTTGTTTAATATTAATTTATTTTATACAACACGTAACATAATTAACGCACTTTGAGAAAGTAGTTTGTTCAGAATCATTTACTGAATCAATTTCTATCATTTTTAATATAGGTAATTTTTTTTATCCCAACAATAATTGAAACTACGTAATTTACAGTCACACTAAACCTGTACTGTCAAACAAACTGAAATGGACCGTAACTCAAGACAATAAGACTTTTAAAAGTGCAGTTTTATTTGTATTAATACAAATTCCGTCATTCAATACAAAATAAAGAAAATTGAACCTTATTTCAAGTACATTAAAGTCTTTACAAATACAGAGTTTGGAGTGCCTTATAAAGGTCGCGGCGGCCAGGCCAATGACCTCCCAGATCACCTGATTTGACGCCTTTTGACTGTTTTTTATGGGGACGTATTAAATCATTAGTTTATTTTACTGAGACAACAAGTGCCGAGGACCTAAAAATAGTAATTCTATGAGTGAACGATTATAGAATAGTGAAAAATGACACTTAAGGTGACACTAGTCGACATTATTTCCATAGAAATTTCGGAGGGGTTTTACTCTGCTGTTTGACAGTGTACATCCAAAATTAAACATGATATCGTTTTGTCTCATTATTAAATTTGTCTGTACGGAAACAGAATAGTAAAATAAAATGTTATTAAAAAGTTACGAGCTACCAAAGATTCGTTTTTATTGCCAATTTTAACACAACTTTGGGCGTAAATAAGTAATAAAAGAAGTGTAAAATTTCCAAAACAAAGTCGGTACCGACACAGGTAAATTATCGAAGAACTCAATAAATTTTATTTGTAATTGATTAATGCAGTGGTTTTTTCATAAAACCCCTTCTTCCAAAGGCCTTTTCGTATTTTTTTACGCGCGCATGTTACTATGAATTATCGTGCATCTCACTGAATAATGTCTCCCCCGGTGCGGTGCGGGAGGACGATGCTTACACACACATGCACAGGCGGTGACGCGCGCTTATAAGTATTCGAGTTTTATTCGAAACGAAAAGTTTTGCTATTTTGTAATTTGGACGCCAAAGACAAAAGACGGCATGGAAATTGATATAATTGAAAGAGATGATGCGTTTTGGACGACAGACAATATTTTAAAATTTTCGTCTGTAATATAATATAATTATAAAAGTAAAAAAAGTAAAGTCTATATTCGATTACTATATAAAATTGCAACATTTTCATTGGTGCCGACGGGGATCGATCCCGGGTTGCTCGCGTAATGTGATACTTACAGCGAGCGCTAACCATCTGAGCTACCACGGCTCTCAATGCAAGTGTTATAAATAAATAAAGAATTACAAAACAGTTTAATTATTTATTAGACGACTTTTGCGGCGGATAAACAAAGTATATTATGTGGGATTTTCATAGGTACCTACTGTTATTACCTAGATACCTACAATCAACAATACAACAAAATGTCACAAAACCTCGCCGCGTCGTGGCCACAAAATTGTAAACTTTAGGTAGGTACGTCGGTACTAAGAAAACAATCTTGATGGGTCACTTGTCTTGATAAAAACCTGTGTTTACGTTTAGTGATATTGAGTATATATAAAAAAATAAGAAGCCAGGTAAGTAAGTATTTTTGAAAACAATTTATAGGTAGGCAGACCAATTACGATTATTATCTAAATATTATAAATGTGAAAGTTTGGATATTTGGATGGACGGATGAATGGATGTATGTTACTCAATCACGCCAGAACGGCTGAAGGGATCTGGATGATATTTTGCTCAGAGATAGGCTATAGTCCGGAATTTTTTTTTCAAAAAAACGTTACCCCACACTAGGATTTTCTCCTGTATCGTGGAGGCAGTTTACAAACATCCAGACCCGGAACAATTATTTGTAGACCATACAAATACTTGTTCGATTGATTCGAACCCGCGGCTCCCAGTACAACAATTCATTGCTAAGCCACTGCGCCACGGAGCTGCCAAATATCATATATGATACCGTTTATTCAGGTATTTCGTTGCCGTGGGATAATTATCGAGTTACACACGTTCGAAGCCGAACTCTTGAGTGATTGCTGCATGACCACTCGGGGAAAACTAAACATAATAAAATAAGCAATCTATATTAGGTATATAGAGCCACAGACGTATACCTAATAATTTCGTGGATTCACGTGTCCGAGATGCGTGGCATGACATGACACCTAGTCACAGTAAATTACTGTGACCTAGTTCAAGCATTTTATAATTGCAATCAAATATTTTATTTGATTGTAATGTATGGAAAAGTTGTCATGATTAATGGAGTACTTTTATTTTATCTGTCGGCATATTATGCGCGGTTTTTTCCAGTTTTAAAGAAAAACGTACACGATTCATGAAAAGTGTGTAGGCAAGAAATGATTCTTGATAAATTTGCTATCAACCTCTTATACTTATTAATTAATTAAATTTAAACTTTCAAAATACCATAGCAACGTGAAATGAAAGAGTTCAGAAATAAAGATGTAACTAATCATTGCTACGCTCACCCGGGAGATAGATAAAAGTACTCAATTAATTTTGAATTTATTTTAGCTACTAGCTGTACCCCGCGACTTCGTCCGCGTTTAGTTTAGGGCGTTAATATTGTTGCAAAGACACCTAATAATTTTTCTAAAATTTAAGCAGGCTAAGTTACTTCTTATAACATGAGCTATCTACTAGTGAAAGTCCCGCCCAAGTCGGTCCAGCCGTTTTGGAAATTAACCGCAACAAACAGACTGACAGACATACAAAAATGTTAAAAATTGTGTTAATGTTATAAGTACCGTATACAGTTTCATACGCAATTAGTAAAAATCTGTTATTTTGACATTACAAACAGACACTTCAATTTTATTTATTTGTGTATATATAGATAACGATTGAACTAACGGCTAACCTAACCTCGCTCATAGAAGCTTTCAATACTGGCTTCTCAGTTCGCACCGGGCTAGGGGTTATGCGTTGTTTGCGCGTCAAGCCAAGTAGGTATTGAATTATTTTAATTTTACATTATCTCTTAAACTATGTACTATATAAACATGGTATAAAGAACGAAGTTTATCTTCATAAAATTGTCTTGATAATGAAGTAACTTTGGTTCGTAAGGTGCCTAATAATTAATTTTTCATTTTTTTTGTCACAAAATGCCTAATTGTGGCTTATATATAAGAAATAGACATATGGTATCGCGGACTTTTTTTAGACGGAGTAAAGATCTATATTTTTCTAGAACATTGTATTTACGTATCCCGAACCATAACAGCGCTTTTTCTTCTGACTTCCTTAACAAATATAGGCTAGCTGAGATATATAGCCTAATGCTGTATAGCCTATACTATTCAACATGAATCTGGCTATAATATCCAAAAAAAGAATTTTTCAAATCGGACTGGTAGTTCCAGAGATTAGCACGTTTAAACAAACAAAAACCCTCTTCTGCTTTATTATATTAGTATAGATGTTGCATCGTGTTCGTGTAACTTCGTTTTTATTCTAACGGTTCGGAACACCGTACGAACAAGACATGCGTGAATACTAGTGTCGATATGCTCATCACTGATACTATCTCTGTCGGGCACGATGCCAGGTGAGACAGCGTGCTTTTTGGCCGCGCCCACCAGCGAGTTCGAGCCCGCGACTTGTGCCACCTTAATTGCTTTCTAAATTATTTTCTTTCTTTTTTAAAACGTAACCTCCACACTAGGATTTTCTCTTGTATTGTGGGGGCAGTGTACAAACATAAACTGAACAAGGACAAACATCCAGACCCGGAACAATTATTTGTAGGCCATATAAATATTGTTCCGTGCGGGATTCGAACCCGTGGTCCTTAGCGCTGCAACTCAATTGCTAAGCCACTGCGCCACGTAGCCGTGGTGGACATTTTGAAAATGTATTAAAATACAACGTTGCATGAGAGTTAAGGCTATCAGTAAGTTAAATATTTGATTCTTAAATTATTGTAATCTTGATTCAAATCTTTTAAACACGCCGTCTTTGAATTATGTTGTCGTATTACCTCTTAGTTTTAGCAGTTCATTATTATTTACAATTACAATTGAAATGTTATGCAAATTCATAACATTTTGTAACGAATATTGCCTATTGCCATTATATCATAATCAATAAACAAAATTATTCAGAGTCCAAAGCCTGAAATGTGATTGAAAGATGCAATAAAATGTTTCCTAGACTTAAATAAACAACTCAATGTACGGAGTTCTGTCATCTGTTAATGTTCATAGGTAGGTATTTCTTTAACGTAACCAATCATGTATTGTCGGCTTTTTTCGGCACTAATACCTACCTACAGTTGTGTCAAGCGGCGGCGGCGTTAACTCGTCTCGAACGCGAGCGAAGGCTAGCAAGACCTATACCTAGCGTTCGTGGTTTTGTACGGTGACCATAATATTCTTCCGGAATTAGTATAACTAATTTAATAAATAATCAATGCATAAACATGTTTAACTAAGAATTCAGTGTATGTATTATGATTATAACATAATATACTAATTGGGGTGTCTGAGGATGTGCGTTAATTACGTTAGATGTAGGAATGATGACATTTTTCATTCATTCATAACAACCTTACTAAAATTCACTGCCTAACATAGACCTCCCCATAGATTGCCACATTTTGTCACATTTGGTGATCCTTAAAAATTAAATATTACTGAGTTTCAAACACCGAAACAGCACATTATTTAGCTGTAGCTGTATGTAGTGTGATTCCAATAACTCTTTCTCACTATAAACGAGTTACGATGTTAGAACCATGTTGCAGCTATTAGTAGTATAGTTGTAGCACGAATGGATCGGCTCGACAGGGGAAGGATCACGCTCTCACATAATACCAACGTAAAATAGCAGTTTAACGCTGTTGTGTTTCATATGGTGAGTGTAACCTGAGACCCTTTTTACTGGAAACGAAATATTCCATCTTAGTCCTCACGGCTGACAACGCATCTGCATTTTGATTCGTAATCGAAGATAGATGTAGATGTCTATGGGCCACAGCAATCACTTACCATCAGGTGGACTGTGTGCTCGTTTGTCACCCTTATCCTATAAAAAAAATATTGTTGAATAATGTTAGAGTACTCCTTGTAATATTAGTCCATACAATATTAATCTTTAGTAAGGAGCTAAAATCCTCTTCTGAGGATGTTTTTTTTGGGTGGTAATAAAGTCGTACATCTCATTATACTGATTGGGTGTCCTAGAAACTGATTAAGAAATATTATGAGAAGTATCTGGTTTCTTCTGACAGCAGTTAATACAATTATATTACCTGATGTAGGGAGTAGAATGTGACGGATCGAGTCTTAATAAATATTATAAGCCATATCTTATATATATATATATATATATATATATATATATATATATATATATATATATTATCTGCTATCCTGATGGTAAGTTCTGATGCAGCCCAAGTTGTTAAAGTATTTACTTAGCTTAACAAAAGCCTATTCACTCTTGGCACACACTATTAGCTCTTGAACATACACCATCGGAACGAAATACAGTTATACTCCTTTACTTAACCACCTAACCTTCACTTACACATTGCAAAAGAGGAGGCAAAATCCAAATCAATTGACTTGAAGAAACTTTGTGGTTACAGCATTAGAAATTAAGTAGAGAGTTGTATGTAACAGTGGATTTTAATATAGTAAAAACTTAACTTTCAGATTGGTAGTGAGGATGCTCTTAGTTCTGTGGATGAGCTAAACATCAATGAACAGCTGAGCTCTAAAGCACTTGCACTAGAACAGGTATATTTTACTTACTTTTTACTCTATATTCTTTAAAAGTAGTAAAAGTAAAAATGTATATTTTCTTGAAATAAAAAAAAAACAAGTTTTTTACTATGTTCCTCCCATTTTACCTCCTATGTATATTATATATATATATATATATATATATATATATATATAATATAAAAAATATTGTTTGTTTGTTCCTAGTTTATGCGTCGCCATACCGTTCATCGGATTGTGGTAAAACTTTGTCAACTTATTGCTTGCCTTGTACAAAGGTTATAGGCATAGTACAATTAACTTCCAGTAGGTGGCGCGCGTGTCGTACAGACGTATTAATTTGAAAGTTATATATCATTCAATTTCAGTTCAGATTGTATTATCATTCCTAATTAAAAAATATAACTTTTTCAAATTTAAAACGATATTTCCACAATCATTTCTTCTGCAGCAACAACGCGCCGGGTACCAGCTAGTGTAATATAAGTTATAATAGTAATATATGTTGTTTTTTTTTATAGGATAGGGTGACAAACGAGCACACAGTCCACCTGATGGTAAGTGGTTGCTGTGGCCCATAGACATCTACATCTATCCTCATTTGCGAATTAAAATGCAGATGCGTTGTCACCCGTGAGGACTAAGATGGAATGCCTCTTTTCCAGTAAAAAGGATCTCCGGTTCTCTACACTCACCATACGAAACACAGCAGTGTTAAGCTGCTATTTTACGCTGGTATTCTGTGAGAGCGTGGTCCTTTCCCGGTCGAGCCGACCCATTCGTGCTACAACTATACTACTAATATAGCTGCAGCATGGCTTTACCACGTATAATATAAGTATTGTAATTTCTAGTGAATATTAATTTGTGTTGACCAATGAAAGGGTAGTGTTAACTCTGTCCATTACATTTCATCATTAATTTCATCCACTAAGATAGGAAAGGTCCATGTGGAAGTAATAAATTTTGTATATAATGTTAAAGTTACAGCATATGTACGTCCCACAACTGGGCACAGGCCTCCTCTCATTTTTGAGAGGGTTTTAAGGCAAGGAAATTTCCGCCCCGCTGCCCCAATGCATGTAGGCGAACTTCACATGTCTACAAAATATTTTTTTCCTTGTTTCTTAGACATGCAGGTTTCCTCACGATGGTTTTCCTACACCGCCGAGTAAGTAGTAAATCAGCACTTAAAATTGCAATTAACAATTTCATTGGTGCCGGCGGAGATCGAACCCAGGTTGCTCGCATACTGTGAAACTTACAGTGAGTGATAACCACCTGAGCTACCACGACTCGGCAATTGTTTATGGGAGAATACAATTAAGTTTTTAAAAAAAAAAGCAATCTGGATCCTTTCATTGATCATTTGTTTGTTAATAATTTGTTTATTTTTCGTTCAATACTGAATGATGCCTTTCTAAGTCATCGAAGTCAAAATACTTTCGTCGGAAAGACACAATGCCGATGAATGCTGAACTTTGATTGTTCAAATATTTTCATTTGATTGGTTTTCCCATCCATAATTTTTGGATGGGAATTAAAAAAAAATTAGAAATCCATTTATATTAGAATATGTGACATAGTCGAGATTAATGCAACATATTATTATCATTATTGCTCACACTAATACAAGTACGATATGCACACAACAATATAAGATCTACTGTAATATTACTGAATTGCCTTGCATAAATTCAAGGCACAATAAAAATCATTATAATGGAAAAAGGTTATTGGGTATATTGGGTTAAAGGGTATATTGTAAATGAAATGATAAAAATACTTCGACACAATGAGCTTTCTTAGTTTTACTTGCTTACCGTTATTGTTAAGGCCTATTAAAGTCCACTGCTGAACATAGGCCTCCCCATACATTGCCTCATAGTGGGGATATTTGCCATACTTCAAGCGGGTTGGCAACCGCACCTTTTTACTTTTAATCGTTATTCGGGAACCGCTGCTACCCATTTCCTAATTTGTTCCCTATGACGCCTCTTACGACAACCTGGATGATATGGGTTAGTGGATATTCTTACACCACCACTAAAGTACGGTCGCGGAGCAGAATTTTTTTTATTGCTTTGCCTTTTTAAATTTAATTCCCATCATAATCCTTTCCATTTCATTCCATACTTTGTAAAGGCCGATTTTGAATAAAAATTTTTTGACTTTTAGTTTTGACTATGGTGAAATTTTAGTACGATGTTTTCTTTTAAAAGTGGTAAATGCTAATACATTGTACAATTTATTGTGCCTCCATAGGGCGTTACCACACCAATCGATCGATCGTCGATGGTAGCTTGAGCTGATTGACGGATACTGGTCGATAAAACGTTGTTCAGTTCTCGAATAATCAAGCAGCTCGATGGACGTCGACTAATCCATTCCACCATCGATCGATGATCGATCGATTAGTATGGTAACACCCTTATACAGACCTATTACACAAAATAGATTTCACTAAATTGCTAATATACCTTTACAAATTAAATACCTTATGGAGCTACTTATTGAATACTGAAATTTTCAGGATAACCAAAAACTGCGAATGGAGTATGAAATACTTCAGATGGAGAACGAAAGCTTGAAACTAGAAATAGCGAAGCATGTGTCGGCTGCGCAGCGGAGGAAAGGCGAGACACATGACTCGGGAGAATTCAATAATTTCAATGAAACTTCGGTAGACTCTGAGGGTAAAGTTACAGGACTTCTTGGTAGTCTAGAGGTACACAAGTTTCTTTCATATTCTATATTTCAATTAAACTCTTAATTTCTTTTAGTTTAACGACAATACTGTAGAGTTATATGAGTTTGTCATCATCCACTAATGGAGTATCATATTTTTTGGTTATATTGCCAAGCTTGGAAGGCGCTATGTCGTAATAATATTCCTTTGATTTCTTGTGACACATAGTAGATACGAATCCTTGGATTGCATTACATTATTCTTTTATTGGTTCCCTATTTTTCACTGGTTAATACAGAAAATATAAAAAGCATTCTTAGTGAGATTTATGGAATGGCAGTAACATTTGCAATGGTGCTGTTATTATCCACATAGTTTCTGGTAAGTCTGCAGTATATAGGTTGTAAAATATACACTGCAGGCCAAAAGTTTAAGACCAACTTATACAGGGTTGGAAAAATTCATGATTTTTTTTTAAAAATCGAATAAAGTACGATTTTTTTAAAAAATCGTAATTAATCACGAATTTTTTCATTTTATTATTTAATTTAACTATATTTTTTTCGCAAAACGGAACGTGCCCTCAAGGGATTGCGCGAACACAGCGTGGGGATTTCCCTTTTGACTGACATGTGAATTAGACACGGTGTTAATGGTTAAATTTATTTATTTGTTAAAAGTTACTTGTTAATTTTTTTTAACAGATAAAATTAACAGTTAAAAATATAACTTACTTTTGTATTGAATTTTTATTTTTAATCGGTTGATGTTAATTTTATTGTTTAAATTTTACACGTGAAATTTTAATCCAATAAACATTTCTTCATACTTTAATAGGAACAGGACTCTCTAACATTAAAAAGTCTTATAGAGCTTAGCGTATTTAAAAGTTTATTAATTCAATATTCATACTATATTATAATTTACAATAAAATGTTGATTATTATTAAATGTTGATGATTATTAGGTATTTACATTTAATATAAAAGTTTAATATTTTCTGCTTTTCAAATTATTTTACTACTTTTATTGATTCTTTTATTAAGTAGACATGATTATTAATTATATTTTATTAATGTTCAGAAACATTATTTGTATGATAAAGTATTTTTACAATAATTACATTTTTGCCCCCGGCACATTTTTCAAGATGGAAATTCCATGTATTTTGATCAAATCGCCAGTTCCTTGGCTAGAAAAACAACCCCAGACCATAATTGAGCCACCACCACGCTTGATTGTTGGGACTACACAGTCTGGCATCATCTTTTCTTGGTCACTGCGTCGAACGTAAATTCTTCGTTTTAAACCGAATAGTTCAAACTTGGATTCATCGATCCAAAGAGCTTTTTTAAAAACTTCTTCAGTCCAATCTCGATGGGCAAGGGCCCATTGCATCCGTTTTCTCTTGTGTTGTGGCCTTAGCAGAGATTTTCGAACGGCGACACGACCATAAAATTTTGCATCTCTCAGTCGCCGTTTTACTGTAGTCAATGATAAAGGTTTAACTCGGTTTTGTTTACTTCAACGCGGATTTCCGTTGCTGTTAGCGTCTATTTCACTTGCTGGTAACAATAATGAAATGATCTTCACATGACATGGTAGCTCTCAGCCTTCCCGAGCGTGGACGAACTTGAAAAGTGCCTGTCTCCCTGTATCGAGTTCTTGTGCCATGAACACAACTCTTCGATAACATCAATTGTAAAGCAATCTCATGTTAGGATTTGTCTTCATTATGTAAAAAAACGATGGCAGAACGCACTTCACTGCTAATTTCGCGTGCTGTTCCAATTTTAAGACGTCTTTGCTGTAGAAACCACAAGTTTAGACTAATTGAGATTGTTTGTGAACAAAACCATGTAAACTGAGGTAATAATAACACGTGTTTTTAGAAGCTAAATAATCCTTATTATTGACCAATGGGAAATAAAAGCAAAGCAATTAGTTATTATCCCATCATAAAAATATTATCACGACTCTACCACCTGACTCTAACGCAGCGTTTGTTGGTCTTTGAAAACAATACAATCACTTGAAAGTAAATAAACCTAACAACCTAACAGCATAGCAAAGTGGCGAAGCAATCAGCTTTGTAGCGGTTTCTAACGGTTGCCGTTGAGCACTCGGTTTCAAAATAGGAGGTTCAGATGCCTGGGTGATCAGTAATCGATTGCTGAAAACAGAATTTGATAATTCGAAACCGTTCTCGAGATAATCGTGGGACAGACGGACAGACATCGTGAAATCAATAAGTGACTTCGCAAGCTTCGCCACTTAATAAAAGAATGACTGGTATATTTTATTTATCTTATGGGATTTCGTTACAATTTATAGATAATTATGTTGTTTAAGTGTGGTCTTAAAGTTTTGGCCGGCAGTGTAGGGCCAAAAATTGAAACTTGCAGAACTCCTACTTTTATTGTTTTTCAAATTCCAGAATATTAATATCAAATTTGTATTCTATTATTAAGATCACGAATTTATCTTATTTACTTACTTTGTAAGGCCATAAAAGTCTATTTTCAAAAATTTTAACGGTGTTACGGGACAACGTAAAGTACTTATATATTTTAATTTTAAATAGTTATAATATTTAAATGTCAAAAATTCATAATTCACCTTTGTATCATTTAAAAAAAAATCGGTATTTCATTCAGGTGCCATTCCTACTCAACCATGAGATTCAGTTGCGAGAGGAGCGAGTGAAGAAGTACTTTAGAAATAAGATTAGCGAAATTAAAACAGAGCATGAGGAGTTAAAGAGCAAGACTGAACATTATGTTGAAGAAGTAAGTAGTTTCATGCATTTAGTGACAAGAACTTAATACAAGTAATGTGTAATTAGTATTTAAGTTAAAGTTGCAGTGATATATACGTTATACGTCTCACAGCTGGACACAGGCCTCCTCTCATTTCTGGGAGGGATTTAGGTCAAGGAAATGTCCTTCGCGCTGCCCCCTTGCCTCGCGTGTTGGCGAACTTCACGAAAAAAATATTTTTATTACTTCTTAGACATACAGGTTTCCTCACGATGTTTCCCTTCACTGCCGAGCACGTGATAAATCAGCACTTAAAATTTGAACAATTTCATTAGTGCCCGCGGGGTTCGAACCCGAGTTGCTCGTGTACTGTAAAATTTACACCCCTGAGTGGGCCAAAATCAATTAATCGGTTTTTCTGTTAAGAAATTCTCAGTAACAGGTCGGATTCAGAAACTTCGCATGTTTCACAACCGTGCTTAGGAAAGCACGTAAAGCCGTCGGTCGGTCCTGCGCCTAATCTCTCGCCTGGTCGTGTATGATTGCCGTCTCACCGGCCTATGAGAGTGAGGGAATAGAAAGTGCACTAGTGCTTGCGCATACACTCGGAGACTATAATTTTGTCTGTGACTCCTCTCCATTGAGACTGGTCGCCGTGACCGAAATTCGGTCGTAAGGACATTAATGTTCTAACGAGGTGGAGATTAGAGTTTCCTCACTTCGCTATATTTTCTTTTATTTTCAGCCATCATTATGCATATTGCCTGATATTCTTTAAAACATAGGTCATTATAATTTATTCCAGTGCGAGATGCTGCGGCTGCGTTTTGAAGTGATGGATCGTGAGAAAGAGATGGACGCGCATACGATAGATGAGAAACATAATACAATTAGTCGATTGGTTAGTGTTTGTTGGTTTATAATCTATACAAATAAATAAAATTGAAGTGTCTGTTTGTAATGTTAAAATAACAGCTTTTTACTAAATGCATATGAAAGTATATACGATACTTGTAACAAAAACACAATTTTTAAAATTTTTGTCTGTCTGTCTGTTTGTTCCGGCTAATCTCCGAAACGGCTGGACCGATTTCGACGGGACTCACTGGCAGATAGGTGATGTTATAAGGAGTAACTTAGAAACAGAAACAGAAACTTTTTTTATTCAATATAGATTATAAATAATACTTATTGAAAGTCACTCTTTTGTATAATTACCACTGGTTCGAAAAAAAACCTCTGTCCTGGGAAGAACCAACAAGAAACCCAGCGGGACTTTTTTTTAAAATAACAGCTTACAATCATGTATGTTACACAAATTAACAACACAACAAATTAGAAATAGCTTGGTAGCGATTACCTCATTTCTAGGGGTTATTATCATCTATAAATTCTTTAATATTATAATAACCCTTTTTATACAAACTTAGTTTAATAAAGTTTTTGAACTTTGAGCAGGTCAAATTTTGTTGTAAAAGCGTATACATCGCCCCAAGAATGAATTACTGACTCGATGGAGTCGAGTAACTGGTACTACTAGCTTGTGTCTGTTCCTAGTATTTACAGAATGAATATCACTTATTTTTGTAAAACTACTTTTATTTTTGTGTACGTACATTACATTTTCATAAATGTATTGAGAGGCCAAAGTTAATATATTAATTTCCTTAAATTTTTGTCGCAGCGACTCTTTAGGGTTTATATCATAAATTGCTCTTAGGGCCTAGGAGGGCCTCTTCTGTAAAACAAATATAATTTCAGTGTCAGCTGCGTGTCCCCATAGCAAAATACCATACGACATTATGCTATGGAAATAGCTAAATTAAACTAGTCTAGCTGTTTCAACACTAGTTAGACTTCTAATCTTTTTTACGGCACATGCTGCAGAACTAAGTCTGCTTGCTAGTTTTGATATATGGGGGCTCCATTGAAACTTCGCGTCTAGTGTGATTCCAAGAAAAATGGTGGTATCTCAAGACTCAGTTTCTCCCCATTTAAAATTAAATTAGTATTTAATTGTTTGACATTTGGAGTCATGAATTTCATACATTTCGTTTTGGTGCCATTTAGATGCAAATTATTAACATTGAACCAATTTTCTAATTTAGATAAAGCATTATTTACTTTGTCATATTTTAGCAATTGGCGACTTAATTTAAAAATTAAAGAAGTGTCATCTGCAAATAATACTATGTCATGGTTATCTCCTACTATGTAAGGTAAGTCATTTATGTATACAACAAACAGAAAGGGGCCGAGAATTGAGCCTTGAGGCACGCCCATTTGTACCATCGACCCGGAAGAACTCATACTATTAATGACAACTTGTTGCGTTCTCTTACTTAAATATGAAATAATTAATTTAAGAGCATCACTTCTTACACCGTAGTGTTGAAGTTTCCTGATTAATGTTTCATGGTGAACACAAACGAAGGCTTTGGATAGGTCACTAAATACCCAAAGCATCCTGTGAATTCTCCCATGCATTAAAGATATATTTAATCAGCTCAACACCGGCATCAGTTGTCGAGCGACCCCTTGTGAAACCAAATTGATTTTTATGAAGTAAATTATTTATATTAAAGAAATTTAACATTTGATCAAGAATAATTTTTTCAAAAATCTTACTAAGTGTTGGTAGTACAGAAATAGGTCTAAAATTGGCGGGGTCTAATGTACTACCAGATTTAAATAAAGGTATTACTTTACTATACTTCATTAAATCAGGAAACACACCAGATTCGATACTAGTATTAAAAATAATAGCTAAATGAGGCGCGATTGTATCTATTATAGACGCAATATTCTGCTGCAAGATCCGCAGTTTTCTTAACATCAATAGTTTTAAAATATTTTACAATATCTTTTGATGATACTTAATGAAATGTAAAATTCTTTGTACAGGCATTTACATTTTGTTTAAGTAATGATTCTGTTTAAGTAATGATTCGGCGACGGAAGGAGAAGAATTTAAAATTTAATTAAATAAATAAAATAAAATTGAAATGAAATTAGGCTACTTATATTTGAGAAAAAGAATTAGGGTTCCGCGCAGCATAATTAAAACACTAAATTACACGCGAGCGAAGTCGCGGGGAACAGCTAGTATGTAAATAATTTGGTTTAAAATATTAACCCCAAAGTATTTTTCAACTTTACTGTGTAGTGGCGGTGTTAGAATACCCACTACCCCATATCATCCTGTGGGGTGTCGTAAGTGGCGACAGAGGGAAGCAAATCAGGAGATGGGCAGCAGCGTCTTCTTAATAACGACTAAAAATTAAAAAAAACTGCGATTGCCAACCCGCTTGCCAAGCTTGGCAACTATGACAAATATCCTATATATTTTACAGGATATTTGTCATAGTTGCAGCACAAATGGGTCGGCTCGACCGGGGAAGGACCACGTTCTCACAGAATACCAGCGTAATATGGCAGCTTGATACTGCTGTGTTTCGTATGGTGAGTGTAGAGAACCGGAGACCCTTTTTACTGGAAAAGAGGCATTCCATCTTAGTCCTCACGAGTGACGACGCATCTGCATTTTGATTCTTTATTGAGGATAAATGTAGATGTCTATGGGTCACAGCCACCACTCACCATCAGGTGGACTGTGTGCTCGTTTGTCACCCTATCCTATAAAAAAAAACCCTAGAGGCAATCTATTATTTTTCAACTCTCTTTTGAAAAAATCATGGTTATACTTTCTTAAAAGGCGACAGTATCTGGGGAAGATATTTTTTTATAGAATAAGGATGACAAGGGAGCACACAGTTCACTTGATGGTAAGTAGGTGCGGTGGCTGGATAAAAAACTCTTTAAGGCAAAATGCTGGAAAATCTTTTTATTATAGCATATGGTGACAAACGAGCGCACAGTCCACCTGATGGTAAGTGGATATTGTGGTCCATAGACATCAACATCTATCCTCGATTAAGAATCAAAATGCAGATGCGTTATCACCCCTGAGGACTAAGATGGATTGCCTCGTTTCTAGTAAAAAGGGTCTCTACATTCACCGTACGTTTTCATCGGTTTCACGCTGGTATGAAAACGTGATCCCACCCTGTTCGAGCAGACCCATTCGTTTTTCATTCATAATATAGCTGTAGAATGGAATAGAATAGAATAATTTTTATTCAATATGGATCACGTGTGTAATTCTTATTGAAAGTCAATAGTAGCGTGGCTTTACTACGTTAAATACAATTGTAGGTTATACTAAAGGGTATAACATCAATACATCATCTACGTGTACATAAAAAGGGCAAAAATTGCGATCTGAAAGGTATTCCAAAACATAGTCGGTCCTATTACAAAACGCGATTTATTAAAGAGAAAAAAGACCCAGCCGCGCGCCATAGTGTGAAGTTTTACATTTGCTGTCAAATTCTAAACACTACATTTTTTTTCCTCCCAGTCATACAATAAACATTTTTAACATTTACTTCTGCCAAACTGCACTACAGTTTGTCGGCAGTAGTTCTCGTCTTACCTGCTTAGATTTATGTAATGTCTTTGCGTTATAGCATGGTGCGGGTGACAGCTATTAAATCAAAGCTAAGGCAAAGCAAAAATTATCGATATAAAAATTAAAACCGAAACATATATTTCTCTATAAACTACAATGCATGTAAAATTAACATAATAGTTACCTACGTAATAGATGTTCCCGAACTTCGCCCGCTTGGTATTTATTACGATTGGATTTCATGGGTTTTATGACTCTACAAAGTGATAATAAATATTGTTTACACCTGGTGCATCAGAATATTATACAAGGCATGATACGCAAAGAGCTAGAAATTGAATCGTTCTTAAATAGCAATAATATCCATATTTTATGTATTACTGAACATTGGTTAAAAGCTTATAACTTAATGTTTAATTTATATAGTTTTAGTTTCAGTAGTCACCAGGTGGTCAGTTCGTTCAACAGAGAAACGGTTTTAAGAGGTGGCTAGTTCATATTAGCTAGTAAATTATTATCATGTAAAGAAGTTTCATTGAATTTTGATGCAAAAAATAAAATAAAAATAGTGACGATAATTTTTAGAAGAAAATAAAATCGCAGAATCTGATCGACTTTCATTAATAACTTTTAAAGTTCAATAACAAAAATCAATAGGAATCCTCCTTAGAATGTATGGAATCTTATTTAATACTATATATATCTATCTATTGCTTACATTTCTATTAAGAGAGAAGACTCACCGACACACAGACCAACGGACGGCAGTCCATATATTTTTCTATCGACTTCAAAAAGGAGACCGTACTCAATTCGACTGATGTTTTTTTTACGTGAGTTACTTCATAACTTTGTACTGGGTGAACCGATTTCGATGATTCTTTTTTTATTTGAAAGTTTGTGCTTCACATGTGGTCGCATCTAAATTTGATTAAAGTCTAACCAATAGTTTTTGAGTTATTCTTAATAATTTGTATTGAAGTCGGTCGTACAAAATTTTTAATTTTAAATTATTCAATTAAATTTTTTGTTATGTAATCTAAAGTGAATCAATTAGAAAATAAACTAATCTTATAATTCAGTGTCTGTAGTTATTGTAACATTAATAATAATATGGATATGATGTCTAGCTAAAAGTATAAAAACGATTTTATGTAGCGAAATTGAGGTATGACACATATCGAGAGTAGAACACTAGCTCACGTGTGAGGCGTGCAATTGGTTCATTAGTTTATGAATTGTTACATACATACATATACACTAATTCAAGACACACTCTAAACAGTACACATCGCACATGGATTGCTAATTTCAGCAGTATGTTACACATGGCCTGTGGCGTACCTTTATGGATACAATGATAGGTAATGTTTTCTTAAAGTATTTTTAAATTATTTTTCGAGATAACTTTACTAAGGAAGTCCGGAGGCAGCTCGTTATGTAGTATGTTAATTTTAGGTACTACATATTTTCCCTTTTTAGTGGCTTGACGATTTGTAACAATTGAATCTAGTGGATTGACTCAACGTCAATTCACTAGATTTTCCACGGGACTTATATAATGAAACATACTCCAGTTTTAACCTGAGTAAGGTATTGGATGTGACCAAATACTTCTTTTAACAGGAAGAAGAACTGCATTCAACATCCCACAACTACGAGCAGCAGATGTCTGTTCTGACTGAACACGTGGCCGGCCTGAACGAGCAGCTGGCGAAGCAACACGACCAGATCGAGCACCTTAAGCACCAACTCTCCACCAAGAGAAAGTAGTCGACCCTGTTAAATCGGTGTCAAGTTTTGACACTGTATACTGTGCTCCATACTCTGCAACAAGGACGGGTTTGAACAAATTTGAGTGCTTTTTGAATATACTTCAAGTGTCAGACGCGTTAAGATACCTGATATGGCTTGTCCATAAACGGCAAGTAAATAGAATGATATCAGGTCCCTAAAATCATGTTATTCTGCTACAATGTGCAGATTTCATTATATAATTAGTGTTAAGATCTGTGATATAAGGCTGAGAGACGTGGAATTCTAGGAATGGCTAACACTTTCTTTACTTTTAACAATTTCCAGCTAGTGATAATTTGGTCATTCGCATTGCGTGCATTTAACTATGTTCGATATTTCTGTAACGGCTCTAAATTATTTTAATCAGTAGATTTTATAAATTACTAAAGATGTAGAAAAATTGGAAATAAACGCTAAAATCATTTGTGGCCAATATAATATTGCCATCGGACACAAGAGATTTACTTAGCTTACTTTTAAATTTTTATAAGGACCAGAAACATATGGTATTAGACAGATCTGTGAAAGGTGGCTTAAGCCATGAGGTTTATTTAAGAAGCTGGTAACAACACTATTGAGATGGGTGTGTTAAAACTGATCAGATGTTTTAGCAAAATTTTTTGATTTCTAGATAGGTTAAAATAATTGCAATATCTGATATGATTAAGAAACCAATCATTAACTTGTATGGTTCATAGTTGAAGTAACACTACATGTAAATCAAGAGCCTTATATTAAATAGATTTGATAATCTAAATAGCTTTTTAAGCTATTTCAAAATGAAGCCTTTGACCGGCTATGGTACCTTTATAAGGTGTTTTATAGTTCTAATGTCTGGGTCAGAGAAATTATCATTTCAACCATCCTGTGGGTGCTGTAAGTAATGGCATAAATAGCATGCAGACGTTTTCCTACGTCGACGCCATTTAAAAATGAGGTGTAATATTTGACAGATTTCATAGCGCGGAAGTTAATTTGTTCGAAAAATGTAAAGGTTAATGTTTCTTTCTGAACTATTATCTATATTTTATATTAATTAGATTAAAAATAAATAAACCAAAACACAGCTATTCATAAAATCAGAATAATTAAATAAAAAAGAATTAAAAATGTGCAAAAAATTAAAGAGCAAACCACTGAGGCATTGTCTTTTCTACCGACTTCAAAAAGGAGCCGGTACTCAATTCGACTGTATGTTTTTTTATGTGTGTTACCTCATAACTTTTTACTGGGTAAACCGATTTCGATGATTCTTTTTTTTATTTGAAAGCTGGTGCTTCACATGTGATCCCATATAAATTTGATCAAGGTCTGACCAATAGTTTTGAGTTATTCTTAATAATTTATGTATATTGAAGTCGGTTGGACAAAATGTTTAATTTTAAATTATGTATTAATATAATACTCTCGGAAACTGATAAACTTTTATTTAAAACTAACTTCTCAATTAAATGACATTTTGTTACAAAACAACTTCACCTCAGTGACGACAACTAGCGACATCTGGTGAGCAGAAGATTATTAGCTCTCATTGTTATGGAATAACTATCGAATATGCACGGCGTAGTATTGTCAGACCGTTGTAGACGGATTAAATTATTTAGCTTTTTGCAGACTGTCAAGTATAAGTTGGTATTCCAAGGCGGCGCCTGCTACGCTTTTGTGTTGCCACTATCTAATTCATATTTTACCTTAAACTCCCTACAAAAATGACCAAGACTGTTGTTTGTCATGTTAAGTTTGGTATTGAGGTCAAGTGCGACAAGGATTTTAGGTATATGCCATGACCAAAAGCGATCCAAGGCTCAACAGATTCTTGTTGCATTGGACTAAATTATGTATTGTATAGCTTTTCTAAAAAAATGAAAATGTAATTAAAATATTTTATTTTTTAGTTGTGGTCTATTAGTCGTGCTATAACTTCCATAAATTCACCAGAATCATCTGAATCACTGCTATCTAAATCGATCAAAAATGGTTCCAGCTATTTCAAGACGATCGTCTGTAAGTCGATAATTATCCTCAATATTTTTTACATGACTGCAGTGTTTCTCCCACTCTTCAACAGTTATTTTAGAAAATGCGTTTTGAATTCGCTGTTCCATATTTTCAGAGAGGCCAATGACATTGGAATCTGCGAATATTCTTTTGAAAGAACTCCATACAAACTCAATCGCATTAAAATCACGATGATAAGGAGGTAGTCTGACAGCTTTGTGACTATGTTCCTGAAAAAATTCATCAATTATGTAGACATCATTTTGTTTCAATATTTTATAATTTCGTATAATCATGCTTTTTTCATCTTCTCTAATTATTTGAAAGCGGGTGCTTCTCATGTGGTCCCATATAAATTTGGTCAAGGTTTGACCAGTAGTTTTTCAGTTATTCTTAATCATTTATATTGAAGTCGGTTGTAGAATTTTTTTTATTTTAAACTATTTGCTTAGCAACACTAAGAAGTTACACTAATGATCCCAAATGAAAATGATCTGTATTTTACTTCAAGTGTGAACCATTTAACAAAGTTTAATTGCGAAACGTATCACACCCCTATTTTATGTTGTATAATTGTATTTTATACGTTATGTTCTAATGCGTAAAAATATAATCCAAAACTTATATTTTTTGTAATTAATATTGTTTCAACCTTCAGCAATAAGAAGCCTTTGATGTATTTAGGTAATTTAAATATATGCGTATTTAATGGCAATAAATGCAGAGCCTTCAATACCGGGCGTTAAATTTTCTATATAAAATAAATATTCAATTTTCTTTACTAAATTTATATACATTATATATATTTACACCATGTGAAAAAATAATATAATCAACGATTAGTTTGAAATAAATCAATTACAATTTAAATTCTTATATTCTAACGAATTATTTTTTATTTTTTAACTTGTTCAATGGTTTCTTGAACGGTTTCCTATGCTAGTGTAAAAATAAATATAATATACTGTATAGTAAATTAAACCTATTTATGATTATTATGTATATATGTTACCGCTAAAAGCCGAAGTGCAGTTACACCTAGGTGTAGCCGGCTACATAATTTTTTAAATTAGATAAATGTCTGTGCCTTAACCGCACCTTTACCTACTGTCGCTGATATTACCTGATACGTTTTTCCGTATTTTTACAACTTTAACAGTACACCTAAATTTAACCAACTACTGCGGGCCGCACCTAGTCCTAGCCGGCTTTTAGCCGTAACATATACATACATACATACATACATATTTTACATATTGCAACATTGTTGTATAAAATAATTTTATTAAGTATTTGTCCACAATAGTAGTAAGTTACATTGTTCATATTTATATTTCATCATTTAAAAACATTATATCACTCTAAATATATAATTTACATTGGTATCATCTTGTTCACTACATTTTAATTAAAAAATCATACAATATTTTTAAGTCTCAAAGAACTTTTTTTATCTAATCATTGAGTTAAGAAATGGAGAATTGTAAATCAAAATTTATTTTTTCTGTATGTAGTGTTAATGTTTATATTTTATCAAGATTTAAAATAAGAAAGTCAGAAATATATCTTTAGTTATTGAATGTATGCGTATGATCCGCCCATACCCAAAGTACACTAGCGTACATACTAGGGATGTTACGGAAGTTGTTATATCGAAACCGAATTCGGAAGCGGAGTTTTAAAATTTTGTTTGTCGGAACCGGAACCGAAATCGGAACTGGTATCGGAGGTGGAGGCAGAAGAGATGTGTTAAGGACAGGTCTATTGCACTGTATTTTTCTTTTCAGTTACAAATTTTTTGAATTCTTCGAATTCAGTGGCATGCACAGTCTTTAAATGATTTTTAACGAAGTAGTCTTACCTCCCTTTCGTGAATATATTTTCTAACATAGTTTACACTTTGCCGTATTCTCAGAAATTTCATTGAAATAATTCCAAATGACTTGATTTTGGCTTCATTGTCCAATTCAAATAAATTTGTTACACGTCAAATAAAACACTACTAAAACTAATCAAAAAGTCGGATAAGTATAAATGAAGCGCGAACTCACAACATGCCAATTGCCAAATGATTTGCCTGCCGCAGGGGCAATCTAGGATGAAAAGCGATCGGGGCAATATCAGAACTGTCTCTACACATATGCCTGCCGTTCAGTATGAGAGTGTACGTCTCGCTGGATACGCATTGAGAATGGCGCCAGTTTTATCGAAATATCAATGAATCGGTATATATAGCCTTGGCTATTTTTTTATATAGAATGAGGATGACAAATGAGCACTATCCACCTGATAGTATGTGGATACTGTGGCCCACAGACACCCATATTTATCGATAAAAGAACTAATTCGTTAATAATTACAACCATAATATAGTCCAACATTTAAAAACGTTACAACGTTTAAATAAAGTTCTTTCTGCAACAAAATAAAACACATAGGTCTTCTATCACCAGTGTCAACATTTCACATTTTTTATTGGTATCCATTGTGACTTTTACTCACACGGGTGCTCCACACGAAAGTCGCCAACAAACTGATTGAAATTGCCCCAATTGCATTATACACGGGGCAGCGGTAACTATGATCTAGGAGCAAGGAATGTCTTGCGCCTTTGTCGCCCATCACAATTACGGAGGCAATTAAGGGTCATCCCTACTCCTACACCCTAGATTGCCCCCACGGCAGGCAAGTGAGTAGCCGCCTTTAAAGAGTAATCGACAGAAGGCACGGGGGGAGGGATGTTTCCGGGGCGACAAGTATAAAATTGTTTGTACACGCTGATCGCAGCCGCCGCCACCACTGTACATCGACCTCCGATATATAACTTCCGACAAAAATTTAACGGAACCGAAATCTGAATCGAAAGTGCAAAATCAATCGGAAGTTCCGAACTTTCGGAATCGGAATCGAACCTCCGTAACATCTCTAGTACATACGCACGATTTGCAATTCGAGGTTTGTAATTTGTTACTGAAAGC